AAATAATTTGTTTTTAATTTTTATTGCATTTGATAATATTGTACTTTTCTTATTTTATTCCCATGATCTCTTACATTAGTTGCCAAATACGCTTTGAATTATGTTTATGCTTTGCAAACAAGTCGGAGTAGTAATTTCTTTTTGCATTTTTGCGGAGTTTTTCGAAATTATTTTTATAAATAAAGTAGTTTTTTTTTTATGATTGCCTTATTTATATTTTAGATTTTTAATATACAATTTTTGTTTCACTTTCGTTGATTTTTTAAGTCCTTTAGTTATCCAAGGACATGATACGCCTTTGGCGTTAAGGATTATTTAACGAATAAGAAAGTTTGCGTCATAGATGGATTTAAATGTTTTAAAAAAAGAATCTTAGATCGGGTATCTAAGAGATCGGGTATCTAAGAGATCGGGTATCTAAGAGATCGGGTATCTAAGAGATCGGGTATCTAAGAGATCGGGTATCTAAGAGATCGGGTATCTAAGATATCGGGTATCTAAGAGATCGGGTATCTAAGAGATCGGGTATCTAAGAGATCGGGTATCTAAGAGATCGGGTATCTAAGAGATCGGGTATCTAAGAGATCGGGTATCTAAGAGATTGGGTATCATCATTGAAGTTAATGTTGCACTAGTTTTGATTCAAAGTTTGTTCCTTAAATTTTTTTTTTCAAATTTCAGTTTTTTTTAAAAGATTTCAAATTATTGCAATTGTATACACGCTTTTTTATAGTGTTTTACTCAGGAGATTTAATTTATAGTTTGCCTTTATACAAAAAAAAAAAGGAAAGTGATCTGAGACATATTATCTGAGACTATATTAACAATACCTTTTTTAAGCAGCTTGTTAAAAAAATCATTAGTTAAAATGTTATCTATTAAGGAAGATGAATGATTTGTTATTCTTATAGGTTTATTTATTAAAGGTATTGTTCCCGTTTCAAATCGGTCGTTGTAAAATAATTTTATGTTTTGGTTTTTATTATACTCAAAACAGTCCAAATTGAAGTCCCCTATTATGTATTATTTTTTTCTCTTTTGATTAATTTTTTCTATCAAATCGTGTTTTAAAAAATTGCTTAAGAGTTCAGTTCTTCCAGTAGGAGGCCGATAACAACATTGCAATTAAAATGGCTTTGAAAATAAATCCTGCACTTGATCTAAATCATTTTTAAGATACGCTGACAATAATTATGCAAGATTTCCTAACATCAAACAAGCAAAACAGTTCCAAAATATTTTTAATCAACAACATACTGCAATACAATACAAAATTGAAGTTGGAAACAAAATAAAAACGCTTAATTTTCTTGATATAACTATTACAAATAACACACTAGGAAAATATGAGTACAAAGTATATCGAAAAGAGGCAGTCACTAACATTCAAATTAAACCGCATTCAAATCACGATCCGAATATTTTAACAGCTATATTTAAAGGTTTTCTCTACAGAGCTTACTCCATTTGTAGTAAACATCATTTGCAAAACGAAATAAATTTTTTAATTGACATGTTTATTGAAAATGGGCATGATGAAAAGCTATTGAAGAATATTACACACCAATTTCATCAAAGAGGACAAAATAAAAACACAATTTCATCAGAATGCAATAATCTTCCTGTAGTGTCTTTACCTTGGATACCAGGCCTTTCACCAAAACTTTGAAAAATATTCCGAAAAGCAGGGTACAGAGCAGTATTTAAATGAAACCCAAATTTAAGATCTTTATTAACAACAAAAAGCAAAACGAAACTACCAAGTAACAGCCAACCTGGAATATAATTTTTTTTTTTTTTTTTTGTTCTTATTACAATAAATTCAAAGAAAAATTATTTAATTTACAATTAGATCGTTAAGAAAAATTTACAATTAGATTGTTAAAAACGTTACTCAATAAGAAATAAATAAAAGGTAAAACTAAGACTTTTTTGTTAATATAAAAAGAACGCTGAGACTCGCAGAAGACCATTAGGTCTTGTCACCAAGAACCGCTTATAAATTAAAACTTCATAAAATTCAATATATATATAAAGTCAAGTGCATATATAATTAATCACATTACGTATTTGATTACGTATTATATTACATCCTCAGCATTAAAGGGATCTTAATAGTCAATATATCAACAAAAACTGGATCAACAACACAACTACTATATATATGTGGCAATGTAAAAGGAATCTACTTATCCCAAACCACCTTAAAAAATCTAGACATCATACCATCTAACTTCCCAAACTCGACTATAAATACGAAAGTAAGTAATTTATGTAGTCAACAAATTATTGATGCAACAAATCATACACTATCCAAATGCGGTTGCCCAAAATGAATAACCTGCTCGCAATTAGCAAAGGAAATGTCTTTATCTGCCACAATAAAAAACCGTTCGAAAATTGAAGATTGGATAAAAGATTATTACGCTAACAGCGCATTTAATACTTGCACCCATTATGAATTACAATCAATGACAGCAAAACCATTAGATATCACATTTAAAGAAAAATCTAACCCAATTGTATTACACAAGCCAATACCGATTCCACATCACTAGCAAGCTAAAGTAAAAAATTTATCTTGATGCAGACGTAACACCAGAATAGTGTTACGTCTGCATCGAGATATAACAAATGGAATAGTCTTAATAACAATGGAATAGTCTTCAACCCCGGTTTGCCTTAGACAGTATCGAGTTTTGAGGATTCGAACTAACATAAACCAGATATAGACCATCACAAAAATATTAGATGCTATAGAAAGTTTTTCTTCGCCTAAAAATATCACCGGAATTCGTTGATGGTTCGGTTTAATTACACAAGTATCGTACGCTTTTTTACAGGCACCGATAATGACGCTGTTCCGCTCGTTTCTAGAAAAAAAAGGTAAATTCTACTGGGACCTTACTCTAGAAAACCTTTTTCAAGCGTCTGAGCTTAAAATTATTGAGCTAATAAAAGAAGGCGTTCAAGCATTTGATATTAACCGCCGCACATGTCTATCTACTGATTGGAGCAAATCGGGCATCAGTTTCATGCTAATACAAAAGCATTGTGACTGTCGTTGGCACTATTATATGGATTAGAAAGTTGTAGAATGTTTGTAATGAGATGTCCTAACCTCATTGTTGCAGTTAATCACAAACAGCTAGTTAAAATATTTAACGATCAAAACCTGGACGAGATAAAGAACCCCCGAGTCCTTAGCATCCGCGACAATCAGAACAAGTTGTTTCGAGACTCATTGATATGAGCAGCACATTTTATTTTTATATTTTACATTAAGCTACAAGACCAAATATATAGATTTTTAATCAGATATCTGAATATTTATTTGCATTCATTATTAATAGTACATTAAAAAAAACCATACCTATGTCACAATCTGTATATATAATTCATGGTGTTTCTTTTAAGTTTTTAAAGTATCCTCCAATAGTTTGGAGGGTACTTAAAGTAATAAACAAAGAAAGCAAAACTGCACGAGTTAGTCATGCACGTCTAACTTTTTTGGCAGAAAACACTAGAGATACAGTTAATTATTTGTTTGTGACATTTGATATGTACCTCTATTGAGTGTTTTTTTGAATGTTATGCTTTTGTTAATAGTTTAGAGTATTTTTGTTATACTATTTTTGTTAATTTTTGTTTTGGTGATAAAATCTCAATATAGTTTATAATAACAATTCAAAGTTGTTGTTTTTTTTGTTTTTAAAAAATATAAACGTAATAATTTAACAAATTTTAACTAGTAATTAACTAATGTAGAAAGATCCATACTATGAACTAAAATGTTATACTGATGAAATGTTCTGTGTTGAATTTTTAAAAAATGGCTATTTTCATAGCCACAATTTATTAAAAATATATATTAGAACGTTGAGAAACATTGTAAAAAACTAAAGAACAAAGAATCAGATGAAAACAGATTTGTTTATAATTTTAATAAGTTTATTTTCAATGATATTGTTTATAAATTTCTAAAAAGGTTTGTAAAAATTCTATGAAATATTGGCGCCTACTGTTGTTAGAATAAAATATCCGGACTATTGTAATTTTCCGGAATTAGTCCGGATGAACCGAAAAAAATACACTTATCTGTTATTTTGTAATAACCGGATATTTATTCCTTTAAATATAGAAATATAAAAAAAAACTTGATGTCTTGTGAAAAAATAAGCTCAATATGTTGCTTCTTTATTTAAAAGCCTATTTCCTCATTTTGCATAGGAGCGACGCATAGTGGGCCTGTGGGCGACCATCAAAACAAACACTTAAATTTTAGATAAAATAATTAAAATAAAAATTGCAAAGCCACTGTTTTATTTCAATTTAAAATAAAATTTCATAAAATAAAAACGAGAAAACAAATGTTTCATTTAAATTCTAAATAATAACATTTAAATTAAAATCAAAAAACAAATGCCTATTTATTACGGCAAAAACAAATGTTATATATGGGTCAAATCAATATATTTCAACCAATTTGAAGAAAACTTTGTGGGTGACTATCTCTGATTTTCCTGATTTTTACATATTGTTGTAGATAAGTTAAGTTTGAAATTTCAGACTTCCAAGTACAACGGTTCAGAAATTATAGCCTTAGAAACATGAAACAGTGGCCCCCCTCAATTTACAAATGGTCAAAAGAGGCTACTTTAGAGCTGTATAACTTTTTTCTCACTTTAAACAAGTGTCTTATTTTTTCTAGAACTATTTCCTGGAAAGTTTTCTTTTTAAAAAAGTGGTTTTTGTGTTATGGGTCTTAACTTGTGTTAAATTAGAAAAAAATTATGACCTCATTATCAGCGGTTGTTACTAGAAACCAGTGCCCCACTAATATATATATATATATATATATATATATATATATATATATATATATATATATATATATATATATACATATATATATATATTAACATTATTTGCATTCTATATAGGAATCAATGTTACACCAAAAAAAGTTATTAAAAAAATAAATTAATTTAAAAACTTACGCCTGTTACAAGTTGAACCTTCATAAAGTGTATTATGACAGTCACAAACTAAATTATCTGCAGTCTGATTGCATTTTGAACCATGTTGACAAGGATTTGGATTGCAATAGTCTTTTAAGCTACAAGAATCATATACCACTCCGGTGTCATCATATGTAAAAAACATTTTCGGATCATTCCAGTCTCGGCGAACCTTTTTTACATCATCGTCATTTATTTTAATATCTCTCATGCATCCTGTAAATCCAAACCCAACGTTTAAGTAACCATTAAAATAAAATGATTGACTTAAAGAAGAAAGTCTTGTTTTTCCGTCAACAGATAATTTTAAAATATATGATTTATCTGTCGCTTCTTTATTATCTATTTCAAAAGAAGCTTGGTGCCACTGTCCATCGTGATAATCTTCTTTTGCAGTTACAATTATTTGTTTAGCTGAACTAAACTCAACTGCTATTGCAACACGGCCTTTTCTGTCAATTTTTAATTCAATTACGTGTCCACTGCCGCTTGTCGTATAATTTACTAAGATTTGTTCATTAATAACTGTTCTAAATTTCAATTCAACTTTCATAGAATTAATAGTGTAGTTTTCAATAAACCCTATATGAGTAGCAGCAGATGGGAAAAAAATTGGAGAGTAGGGTGGATCTTGACAAATTCTATTTATTACCCCTTTAGTTTCAATACTAGGATTAGTATCCAAAAAATTAATTTTTTTGCTGTCGATTTCTGGCCAATATTGACTAAATGATGCTTCGCTGAAACATGCCTTTAGCCCTTTTCTAGCATGAGACATTTCGGTACTCATATCTAGGAAGGTGTAATACCCTCCAAATGCAACAGATGAAACAGATAACTGATTGTAAGTTGGAGGAGATTTCATAAATATAGATTTCTCCATCTTTCCTTGTCCACGATCAATAAATATTATATTTTCTCTAATATTTCTAATGAATTCAACTGTGTGCCATTGATTGTCAGCTAAATCTTTTCCAAGAAACATTTCATAGAAACCAGAAATTGGACGTAAAGTATTTTCTGGTCCATCACCATAGTTTCCTGCAACTCTAAACAAGAAATAATATCATCTATTTAACTTAATAAAACAATTCTTATTAAAATCTATAGTTTCTTTAAGGCGCCTATTTTGATAAATGTATACATTTTTTGATAAATATTTACAGTTGTATAACCTAATAACTTGAGCTCCAAACATAAACAAACTGTGAAATGGTTATTCATTAAATTGTCAAATAAATCTAAGAAGGATTTTTTTAGATGAAATTTTAAATTTGTTGATATATCTTGATCTAGCTTAGTCTTAAAAAAAATTAAAACTTTTTAGTACCGATAAATAGACCAACTTTCGGGGCATTCTTTTTCCCAGTATCTAATCACTGACGTTTATTATACTAAAGTTTAGTATTTTAAACATTCCTACAAGTTAAACCTGCATAAATATAGATGTATAATAATAAAAAAAACTTGTTTCAAGTTTAATTTTAACTTAACTACATTTAATGTGGTAGTAGACAAGTGGTGAAACATTTAGCTTATAATCAAAATTTTCAAGGTTCAAGTCTACACTATATTGTTTACAGGAAAATCTACATATGTATAGACACATAAATTATTTCTATAATAAACAATGCTATCATTTCTTAAATATGCACTTTTCTTATTACGTAACATGAAATGATGCGTGAGATATATGATCTTATGCATGCAGGGTTGGGGTCGAACACAATTGATCAAATACCAATACGTTAGTTCTAGATTTCCAAACACAAATTCAAAAACAAATATAAGCAATTGACATTTTACAAATACAAATGCAAATACTTGTAATTTAGGTTAAGAAAAAATAAAAAGATTTTTTCACGACAAAACTGATAAAATGGTCTACTATACTGAAGAATGAAAACAAGTCTTAATAAATATCCCTGGTTGACGTCTACTTTCAAAAGTATTTTTGTTCCTAGGCTAAAATAAGGGCAATTGTAGACAAAATAAACTAATAACAGGTGATTACTAAAATTCTTGATTGACCTTTTTTAATGTTGCTTTTTTTTGATCTTACTTTATGTTACACAATTGACTTTTTTAAATGTAACAAGCTAAACTTTTTTTTTCTTGATTGTATCAAGTTTAATAAAGCTTATTTGATTTTCTACAAATCAATTTACTTAAATTTAAATATTATTAAATGTTAAGAAAAGATAAGAAAACAGACTTAAGAGTTCCATTAGAATAATAAATTGCAAGATAAAAAGTTAATTGTAGATCATTTTGATGCTAAACAACTACCAAGAAGCACTATGATACAATTGAACATGCTGAAAACGATACGGGATATAAGAGTGCAAAGAAGCAATTTTCTGACAGGCTTCATAATCTTACAAACTCAAGGTGTTCCTCAGGATGGCCACTTCTGACAATAATATTTTCATTTAACTATTAAGATGAGGATTGTATCAATGAAAGATTAGTGCAGCTCATTACATTGCATTAACATCAATGTTCATTGATCCTCAATATATTGATGGTAGTTATGTATTTTGGCCAGATCTGACATTTATATACGAAACTAAACTGTGACCTAATGCTATAGACCCATAATTTTGTAAAAAAAGTTTCCTAATGATTGACTTAGAAATTTATAATTAGGCAGTTTGTAATTAAATTTGAAAATGTTTTCAAAAAATGAAATCAAATATGTATTTTATAATAGTTATATATTCTTTAAACTTTTAATTCTTTAAAGTGTTAATTTATGCTTTTTTTTTTTTCTTTAAAGTTTTCATTTATGCTTGACCAAGTAATGTAAACAAAAACTTTATTACCCTTAATTTATAGGAATCAAAATACAGTGTATTTTTCTAGATATAAATAAAAGTACCTTTTACCAATGTAATGTTAGAGATTTTTTTGACCTTGAAATCATGCAGCATTAAAATAATTATAAGATTAAAAATAATTGTTAGATTTACATTTATCGTTCTTTATTTAAATCATATCACAATCAAAACTCCAGCTCTATGTGTTAATTTTAGGTTATTTATTAACAACCTAAAAGTGACCTAAAATATAATCCTATTATATTGCCGACCAAAAATTATTTTTGTGTTATCTTTACTCTAAATAACTCTTCTGTAACTTAACCAATTTTTGATATACAGTTTAAACCTTTTTGTGATCACCAACAAATGCCAAAGCAGCTCTAATACTATCAAGATCATTCTTTGCTTCTTAAATGTTTTTTTTTTTTGTGGTGATTTAAGTTTTATTTTTATCACGTCTCTAGAAACTGAAAATATAGTTTTATTTTTGTTCTATTTTATTAAGTTCTCTCATTATTAGGGTGACCATTTTAAAAAGACAAAACCGGGACGCGATGAAAGGAATGATAAAAGTATACTTTATATATATAAATATATATATATAAAGTATACTTTATATATATAAATATATATATATAAAGTATACTTTATATATATAAATATATATATATAAAGTATACTTTATATATATAAATATATATACATACATATATATATATATATATATATATATATATATATATATATATATATATATATATATATATATATATATATATATATATATATATATATATATATATATATATATATATATATATATGTATATATATATATATACAGGCGCGGATCCAGCATTTTTTGATGTTTGAGATAACTAACTTCCAGACATGGTACAAACCCCAAAAATTTATATGTTCATACTTATGTCAAATAAAGATGATTTGCAAAAAATTGCGATGATTGGAGTCTGGAAACAAAAAAGCCCCAAAACTTTGGCCACACAAACCCCAAACAAGAGAGCAACACGTTGATAAAATATTTTTTGTACAATTCTCAAGTAAATTTATATTCATCGATAAATTCTAAATTTCATACAATAATCTCTTAGTGTTCAAAAATTATAATTGCACAAAGTTTTAACCCCCCTCAATTTGAGGGGGTTGCAAATTTTGTAAGGTCATGTTTTTTGAACACTAAAAGATTATTGTATGAAATTTAGAATTTATCGATGAATATAAATTTACTTGAGAATTGTACAAAAAATATTTTATCAACTTGTTGCTCTCTTGTTTGGGGTTTGAGTGGCCAAAATTTTGGGGCTTTTTTGTTCCCAGACTCCAATCGTCGCAATTTTTTGCAAATCATCTTTATTTGACATAAGTATAAACATATAAATTTTTGGAGTTTGTTCCATGTCTGGAAGTTAGTTATCTCAAACATCAAAAAATGCTGGATCCGCGCCTGATATATATATATATATATATATATATATATATATATATATATATATATATATATATATATATATCACTAGATATACTCAATGGCGACAAAACGTGCTAAAAAAACGCGCTATAAGGCGACAGTTGTGTTAAGGCAACTATTTGTGGTCACCTTAACGTTTCTGATTCAAATTTAATGGCTTTTTGTTTGCGCAATATAAATTAAAACTTTACCTAGCTTTAGGTATCTATTTAAATAATATAAAAAATAAATTTTGGATCGAACTAAAATTTTTTTGGGGAGATATGGAAAAGGCAGTTTTGAGAGTGTTTATTGTATAAAACGGCAAATTTGCCTACAAATGCCATATGGTGACAGTTTGTACATTTGAAAGATTTTAAGTGTTTTTATATGTATATATTCAATTATTTTTATGATTAAAACATAATTTAGGAGTTAGTCGACTATATTTTACTATTTTCTAAACTTTTAGCACGAAGTGTGCGAATAAAATGCGCGAATAAAAAATATAGTTTTTTTTTTCACTAAAACTCTTATTTTTTACTTTAGCGAAACACAAAACTTAGTTTTTTACTATTTTATATAAGAACCAAGTCTTATTAACTTAAATTTATTAATTTCGCTAACATCTGTTAAAGCTTTCCTTCATAGTTGATAAGTTTTCACAATGATGTTTTACCCTAAGGTGACGCAACTGAGTAAAATCAACAAAAGAAAAAACGTTAAGGTAACACTTTTTTTTGTATATCACTGTGGGGAAGTGCAATTATTTTAATTTCAAAAGAATATGCTCAAAGGAGTAATTATAAAATGAGTGAAGTCGTTATAGCGCAAAAAATTTTTTTTTTTGTGGTAAAAACTGCTATGTCGCCTTATAGTAGAATTTTTGCGCATGTCACCGTAAAGTAGATCTAGGAGTATATATATATATATATATATATATATATATATATATATATATATATATATATATATATATATATATATATATATATATATATATATATATATATATATATATATATATATATATATATATATATATATATATATATATATATATATATATATATATATATATATATATATATATATATATATATATATATATATATATATATATATATATATATATATATATATATATATATGTATATATATATTAGTGATGTGCCGGGTACCCGGTTCGGCCGTACCCGGCAACGGGTATCTTTAAAGAAATTTTTTATAAAAGTTAACCTTAAGGTGGATCCATGGTAAAAAAAAAACAAAAAAATGACTTTTTTTTTTCAATTGGTTTTATTAAATAAACTACCTGTCTTTCAGAGGAAAGTGGTTTTTATACATTGTTTACTTTAAAACACTGTTTAAAGTAATAAATTTGTCATCTTATCTTAATTGCTGTTTATAGAACTGCGCATAGAAACCAAAACAGTTAGTTAATTTTTATCTTTTATCTTCTACAAAATCAAAATAATTAGTCTGTGACACTTAAAATATATCTACTATGCTTTTAATTATCCTGTTGTTTGTATTTCAATTGTTTTATTTGTAAATTACTTAAACTATTTCATCTTGAGTGAGTGAGTTTTTAGAGTTATTGAGTTAGCATTAAATTAACATATTTAAAAACCTGACTGAAGATATTTTGTAAGTTAAACAGTTTTAAATGGCTAACAAGAGAAATAAAATAAGAAGAAAAGATTGTTAAGATATGATAAGATGATATTGATAAGGTTGTTAGGATATGAAAAGTTATT